TGTGTGCCTGTTGCTGACCAACATTTTAAAAACTACATACACCAAAGCTGATCTCTTGGCTTCGGGCAAACATCTTGGAAGCCCAAAGCCTCTTATTACCAGACGGTACTCCAGGGCAAAGATTTATCCACCACAATTCCCTGTTCAGACTGAGGAGCCATCAACTCCTGTAAGTTGAACCAGATCCCCCATTTAAAGCCTAATAGAGACAGATAGAAAGTCCAATTGCCTGGTTGATAAATATGGCTGCCGAATGTAACATAGCCAAGAGCTGAGCCATGGTGGGAAAATCTTCCCATCTAGTTCTAGAAATGTATCCCAGTGATTGTTGGAGGTAGAGCTGCACCGATACCGATACTAGTATCAATGCCGAGTATTTGGCAATGCTCCGATGCCTAGCCCGATACTTCCGGTATTAGGAAGCCAGGCAGTGCGTCATTACACGCTGCCCGGCTTCCTGGCCAATCAGGAAACGGGCAGCGTGTAATGACACGATGCCCGGCTTCCTGATGGTCAGAAGCTGGCCAATCAGGAAGCCAGGCGCCGTGTAATGACGCGGCGCCCAGCTTTCAGATTGGTCGGGAAGCCGGCTTCATGCTCCTTCGTCACCTCATGAATGGTTGCCGAATGTAACAGAGCCAAGAGCAGAGCCATGCTGGGGAAATCTGCCCATCTAGTTCTAGAAATGTATCCCAGTGATTGTTGGAGGTAGGGATGCACCGATACCAGTATCGGTACCGAGTATTTGGCCGAGTACTCGTACTCCCCCAAATGCTCTGATACTTCCAGTATCAGGAAGCCGGGCGCCATGTCATTACACATCGCCTGGCTTCCTGATTGGCCAGAAAGCCGGCTCCATGCTTTCTCGTCACTCAGTGACGAGAAGCATGGGGACGACTTCCCTGCTAATCGGGAAGCCGGGTGGCGAGTCATTACACGTCGCCTGGCTTCCTTAATGGGACTTATCGGTACCGGTGAGTACTGGATAAGAAATATCAGTACTCATATCGAAATCGGTGCATCCCTAGTTGTTCTCTTAAAAAGAAGCATTGCCTGCACGTTCAGTTTAAGGTCAAAGTTCAAGGCCCACAGAGGAAATCTACAGAAACAATGAAAAATATATTTCGAAGGGATGTTTGTGATGGGTTTTGAGGGAGAATTAAGACTAAGCGCCACTGTTAAAGACGTTGCAGAGAAGGATTGGTAGAACAGAAAATAGGACTTTTGTACTCACCATAAAATCCTTTTTATGTAGTCCATTGAGGGACGAAGTAAATTGCAACTGTCCGGTTATATTGATGCCTACAGGAGGTTTGGAGACTGGCAACCAAAAAAATTGTGGCCCAGCGCAGGATAACCCCTCCTACTCCCAGCATACCTCAATTTTGTGGTAAAGCAGCACCAAGAGCATGATGATAAACACAAAGGGGTGAGACCAGTCTTTCGAGGACAGGGATGTGAAAACATTTTTTAAAAACTTCTTGTCCAAGGACTAAAGCAGGGGACCGATCTACTCGTCCCTCATGACAATCTACCTCTTCTGATATAAAAAAATAATTGTATCCAAAACCGTATTTAGCAGTGCTAAGAAGTGCTTCTCATTGGTCAGCGCGGTCAGGTGATCACGCTGACCAACGAGTGCTTGAATTTGTGAGCAAAATTCAGAATACATGGCACAGGTACAGATAGTATATCTGTACTGGCGGTCGAAAGGTAAGTATAGCAGGGAAGGAGACGGGGCCAGATTTGTGCGGATAATTCAATTTTCCCAAATTACTTGGGTAAGTGAATTTACCCTTTAGGGCTGGTGCAGACTTACTGCTGTTGCCACGCGACCCCATTGATTTCAATGGGGTTACATCCGCATGACAATCGCTGAAAAAAGGTAAATGTACCTTATTTTGCAACATGCACCGTGCGGTGCTTTGAACCGCGATTATGGGTGATTGCACGGGCGGTATTGCGGCGGGAAACCGCACAATCTGCCTGGCGCGACTGGCGTGTCATTAGAAAATGATGGCACTGCCAGCGTGATTGGCTGTGGTGTGCGATTCCGTGACCGCCCAGCCATCAGCGTGTTTCATGCCCGATAGCTGCGCAGTCACGGATTGCCCACTCCGCTCTCTCAAACACAATGCCATACGCGTGTGTTTATTTGCATGCAGATGGTGGAGGCAGCGGGGTTGGTTTTAATTTATTTTTTACTTTATCGCCTTTTTATTTTTGACCTATTTAATATCTATTTTTTTTCCACTTAACTTCATTGCTATCACACAGGGGATAACAAGCCCATGTGTGATAGCATTTGGAGGTGACAGGTTCTCTTTATTGACCCTGCCCCCTCCAACACAGGAGTTCTAGCCCAGCATTGTGCTTGTTCTCCTGTGACAGGAAGGCTGTGAGTGCAGCATTCCTGTATCTGTTCTCACAAAGGAGCGTAGCAGAGAACGGATGTTCTCTGCTCTGCACCCCGCTCTCCACCCTGATCTAATTTGCGGTCTTTGAGCGAGGGACCCCGAAGACCACGTCAGGGTGGGAGCCAGCGGGCGGGGAGAGAGGCAGCGGTTAGGGACACAGGCGAAGGGCGGAGAGGCAGCTGCCGGAGAGAGAAGGGAGGGGGGAGTGAGAATCAGGCTGCTTACAAGTGATCTCGAGCGGCTATACAGCCGCTCAAGATCACTTGTACAAAACGGCTCCCCCTCTACATTTAGCCTTGCTGCCTGCTCGAGAAAAACTACCCACCCGGCGCGCGGAACTGCATGTCCTGGGCGTCGGATGATAGGAATGCCACACCCCTGGAGGAACGCCAAGGAAAGGGTTTTACAGCGAGGACAAATATCCTATTTTCTTTTAGATCCATTGAGAGACACAGGAAGTCTTGAGTGTCAGGACATCCATAAGGAGCCTAGCTAAGGGGTAGGCAACTGTAAAGAAAAATCCGACAAAAACAACAGAACAGGATTGCTTGCAGCTCCAAGAGCAGATTGAAAGCCCTTGTGCCTGAACATGCATCTGGTAAAACTTGGAATAAATGTGAACAAAAGACCAGGTGGCAGCCTTGCAACAAAGTAGTTTGATGCCAAAGAGCCCAAGACCTAGTGACACGTGTCTTGACAGGAAAGGTATCTGATCCTTAAGATCATAAGCCTGGAGGATGGCCTGTTTCAGCCCAGAAATGTTGGAACAATAAGCTAGTACACCTTAAAAATGGATCATCAGGAAGGAGTATCAATCTTTCTGGAGGAAGCAGTAGGTGCGAGAAACTCTTTCAGCACAAACTACATCCAGGCAATGGAGGGAAATCTATTGAACTGGAAATAGACAGAAGAATGTCCTGGTTGAGGTGAAAGGCCAAAAACGACTGTAGGTAGGAAGGAAGTTCTGGGCCTTAACACCACCTCATTCCTGTGTGGGACCAGAAAGGGTTCTTTTACAGGATGGGATTGACAGCTCAGACACTCGCCTCCCAGAGGTTATTCCAAGAAGGAATGCAACCTTTACCTGGGTCAAATACTGGTCCGAGCCCATCTTTAAGGAGAGGATCTTTGCCATGGAGATCTTCCTGGGGCGAAAGCCTCTCGCTTCATACCAAGCAAAGTATGCCTTATGCATATAGTGATAGATCTTGCCAGAAGTTGAGTTCCTTAGCGTCATGAAAATCACACATATAGTGATAGCTCTGTCTCTGACAATCTAGGCTTCAACGACCATGCCGTTAAAGCCAGTGACCTTAAAACAGGATGGTAAATCAGAAAATCTGCCACAAGTCTTATGAGGTTGGAGTACCACATCTACCGGGTTCAGTCTGGAGCTACGAGGATCACCGCAGTGCTCCCCAGCTCGATCCTGCAAAGTAGTCGAGGAAGGAGTTTCAAGGGAGAAAAGGCATAAATAAGGTTGTACTGATCCCACGGAGTCATCAGAGCATCCTCTGCTTCCACAAAAGGATTACTGTACCTATCCAGTTTACCTGAATCTGTCCCGTTCATTGTTGAACCTGGAGGCCAGGATCCACATCCTGCATCCCTCACCTGTGACACAGGTCCTGGAACGACTTGAGGTGCAGAGGCTATTTCCTTAAGTCCAGGAACTGTCAGCTGAGATTTGCCTGCCAACTGGCCATACTTGGGACGTATATGGTGGCAGGGCTGGAATATGTTCTGCCTGGGAAAAAATCTGTTCCACCTGTCCATGGTGAAACTCCTGGATCCCTCTTGATGGTTGATGTACACCACCTACTGTGGCACTGTCTGACTGAAACAGGATCAGATGACCCTTCAGTTGGGAGGTCCAGCATTGCTTGGTTAACAGAAGAGGGTCAGGCAGCTGAAAGTGACCAGGTCATTGTAGGTAGGCAGCAGGGTTGATAGAGAATAGATCTCCATGTGTCTTATACAACAGGAGCAGCAATGGGAAGGTGCTTCCTCAATACTGAATGGTGGAACACAGGCAACACTCCACCGAGCGGAGTGTCAGTCCCTCAGCGTTAACCTCTTCAGTGGTGAACTGCCAGAAAGTTGGAAACTTAGGTGTCCATCTGTCTTAGTAACCTGGAAGCTCCCGCTGCTCGGCCCACACAGCCTACTCACAAAGAAAGTCTTCAGAGACAGGGTCATGCGCTGAGGTCATGTCACAGCTCTGGACTCAGAATACGCTGCATGGCTAACCATTACCATTACATGCAGGTCTGGAAAGCACAATACAGAGCCCAGTGCCCAAAGGTCACATTTCAGTCTAGGTCCACACATTTAGTCCGGCTGGGTCGGCATATGGCACATCAAAGTCAGGCTGAGGAAAGGTAGATCCGGATAGCTGCGTACAGAGACCAGCTCAGCAGCGATGACGCAGGAATCTTGATTGCAGAAAAAGGTAGCTAACAAAAAAGGATAGACCTTTCAAAAGCTGTCCATCCTCCTAGGATACTAGCAAAAAAACCTGAGGCATACTGGGATTTGTTATTCTGGCTGGCCCACAATTTTTTTTCTTTTGCCATTGTCCAAACCCCCTGTAGGCGGCATTATAACACGATAGTCAAGACTCCCGATGTCCCTCAACAGACAAGAAAGAAAACAGCTTTGTGTTAGCAGCAAAAGCACAGGTCACTGGAAATTACAAAAGAACAGCGAAACACCAACCTGTCACATCCAAGATGTACCCATCTTACATCTTTATTCTTCCCATAATTATTTTTATCACCTTCCACAACATTCTACATCTGCAGACCAATCATACAAAACTGATAAATTACCAGCATTTAACCATATTATTAAAATCTTCAAAACATGTCCCTTTATCCCCCATTACACCACCGCATCACTCTAGATATTACTCTAATTATTGCAAGTTCAGTCTACTGAAATATGTTGGTGCCTTGTGGCTGATCTTCCCTTTCTGTATATCCAGACAACATCACTTTAATCTCACAGGCTGTAGATCATCTTTTTTTTCAGACCCTGCACAGGATTTTGTTTTTTTAAATCCCAAGTTGCCGTCTACAAGGCTTTCACATAATCCGTGGCTTGCTTTCTCCCATTGCAGATAATGCAGACGTCTTGTCTGAGTCATTGCGAAGCTGGCTTATTGGGACTTGACAGCCTCCGACTGCTCCTGTGACGATACGTCATCGGGTGGGCTGAGGTCCTTTGAAAAGTTCATTTCCATTATGTGATGCTGTAGGTGACGGACCCACTGCTCCTGAATGGAAAGTGGACCTTGGAACTGAATGTCACAGAACCTGGTAAAAAGGAGAAACAAAACAAACAATGTTAATGAAAAGCAGTAAGAGACGTACTGAACAGTGTGAAACCTACACATCAGGACTCTTCGTACCCTACTGCTGGCCATACACTTGGTATATATGTTGCTTTTAGAAGAGAAAAAGATGTTCATTCTCATAGGACACTAGCAAAAACATCTGAGGCATGCCGGGAGCAGAAAGGGTTATACATAACTGGCCAACAACTTTTTTTTTTGTTAGCTAGTGTCCATTTCCTACTAAGGGTGGCAGTAAAACCCAATAGTATCAGAACAATTACTGATCCTGTGTCCCTTAATGATCGCTATAGACAAAGTTTTGACTGGAGATGGGTTAGAACATATAGGCTCAATTCGCTAATAGATTCAGCTGTTTCTGAAGATGCTGAAAATAACAGCTCAGCTAGTTGTTCATCTCGACATTGTGAGTCTAGGATTTCGGTCACTTTCCCCAGGCTGTGGCTGGGCTTTCCTCCTCTGGTCCTGGTTTTGGACTTTCTAAAGCATATTTGATTTTTTGGGAGAAAGGATAACCTTTAGAGATAACCGAGATTTGCAACAGCTTGACATTTGAATTAACAAAGATCATTATAGGTTATAGTATTGTGCCTTATGGGTCTGTGTGCTATAGGATAGATAACCCCTCACTTTTTGTTAGTCTACTCATAACTGAAAAGTAGAGGTGCACCGAAATGAAAATGTCAAAACCGAAACGAAACCGAAATTAAAAAAAATATGTCAGGCCGAAACCAAAAATGTTTTTTATCTTAACTTTTTCAAATATTTTATTTGGATTTATTTTTTATAAACTTTCTAATTTTTTTTATTTATTCACTTTTATTAAATATTTTTATTTATACTTTTAGGAGCTTTTGGGAAATATTAGCGGTCTAGACCCCTGATATTTCCCTTTTAACCCCTTCATGACTGAGGCCCTTTTTTCATTTTTTGCACCCATGTTATATTCCACATTTTAGGCCTGAAAATGACGTAAAACCCCCCAACATTATATATTTTCTGAATGCCAAGACCCTATAGAATAAAATGGTGGTAGTTGAAACCGCGGACACAAAGATCGCCGGTCCCGGGCCCGTAGGAGGGGCAACGGAGCCCGGGAAGCACGGCGGGGGTATGCAGCATTTGGGGCGGCCCCTTCTTCGGGACGCAGAAGCGATCTGGCGACAGGTAAGTCGCCAGGATCGCTTCTGTTGTAAAGCCGACAGTCGGCTCTACAAGTTTAAACAGAGTCCCCGCGGCAAAAGTCGCCGGGAGTCTGTTTAAACAGCCCCGATGCTGGCGACGTACACTGTACGTCGTCAGTCACGAAGGGGTTAAAATAGAAAAAGAGTGCTCAATCTCCTTTACCCTCTATTCTGAGTGTTCCTGTTCATTCAAAACATGAGGACAGAGTACGTTTACTATAACCACAATCATGAATGCACAGGAGGTGATGTAGATCACTTCCCATTCATTCTTAATAGAGGATATAGTAACCATACTCTGACCTTCAATTATTTACAAACACTCAGCAATCACTGACTGCAATCACTGAGAGCTGAGTGTTTGCATTGGCTCTCCTTCCTGGCACGGTCACAAGAGGCGGAGCGGGAGGAGAGCTCCGCCTCCTGTGACAGCGCGGGCTGTCTCCGCACACACCCCTCTCCTCTGAGGAGAGACGCTGGCCGCTCACAGCGCTGTCTTCCAGCAGCACTCGGCCGCCTGTGACAGTTTCTCTCCTCCCCGCTGGGACACAGATCAGCGCCCAGCAGGTAGGAGAGAAAGAACGGATGTACCGCTGTATCGGCCAGAAAATGGCACTTTCGACATTATGCCGCATCAGACAGGTAGAGCTAGAAATGCTGGATGGAGCTGGGAACACTAGCTGAAGACAGCTCACTTGAATTACCAGTTCTAATTAAAGGAGAACTATGAGGTGAGTGAAAATCACTCGTCCTCATAGTTCAAGCCGAGGTGTGACAATGAGACTGTCAAAGGTCGGCTCCATAAATCGGGAAGTGAGCGAACACATACCGTCGCTTGCTCACTTCTCAATCATCTCCCTGCAGAGAGAGGTGACTGTCACTCACGGCTCCCTGCAGGGATTCCCCCCCTCCCCAGCACTGACTGGCGGAACGGACGGGGGAGGGGGCGGGCACAGCTGGCTCTGCCTCTACATAGGCAGAGCCAGCTGTCAATCCTGCAGCTGGGTGGATCCAGACAGTAATGTCGGGATCCTTTCCGGCTGCCTCAGTATAACGCAAGCTGTAGCTCGCGGTATACTGAGATTAGGATGACGTTAGATGTGTCCTCCGTTACCCTAAGGAGAACTATGGGGAAAGCCCTGACCCCGTAGTTCTCCTTTAACTCTTCTGAGATAGAAGTCAGCATGTATTTTTTTTTTCTTAACAGCAAACACATAAAACCGATTTAATTAGAGGTTGTCCATAAAGCCCAAAATTCATTTTACGTTTAAATCGGCTAAATACGCTACAGGTGCATTTAAAAAGACCAAACAGTGTTCAGTGTTACAGAATGGTTTCTTTAAAAAGCCAGAATGCTGCAGAGAAGGACCCTTGCTCTTTGTGTGAAAGCAGTGGTCTGTCTGAAACACCCCATGCCCAGTCAGAGCTAGAGCAGCAGAGACATGTGATTTTCTGATCGTAAAGTTAAATGTCTGACCACGTAGAGGGCATATCAGACTTCTGCAGGAAGACCACTGCTTACAAGCAGAGAGCAAGGATCCTTCTATGCAGAATGCTGGCAGGGGACAGGCTTCTCTATTTAGTCTGCGGCTGCATTCTAAAGCAAAAGAACTGTAAAATTGAACAATGTTTGTTGAGATGCGCTTGGAATATATTTAGCTGCAAATGTAATTGGGTTTTGAAGGGCAGCTATCATCAAACCCATATCTATATTTTAAGTATTTGCAGGATCTGTTTTGCACAGAAAGCAGAACATGGGCCCCATGCAAAGCTATTACTGCCTGATTTTTGGGGACTCGTTTAAATTCTACATAAGGGGATCAAAAGGTAAAACAAGCACAGCCATCTCACCTGCATTTCAAAGTGTAAATGTTTCCAACAAACTTTACTAATGATGTCTGGGGAGGTCTTGGTACCAGAGAAGGCACAGGACGTACTCTTGCAGGGGGACGTGGCTCCTCATTTTTGGCTAGTGGTTCAGAGACTGTATCTTCCAGGGAAGGTGGAACCTCGGGTGCCTTAGGGTGACGACGCTCAACTTCTGTTGGCATACAAATAAATTTTGTAGATATAATAAAACGTCCAACTCTGTAAGTAAGCCATGCTCACATCTATTCTATCCTGTGTGTCACACTTACTCTGCCCCTGCGGCTCAGCTGATTTTTCAGAGGTTGAGCTTGGCACTGCGGCACTTTGTTCTTTCTCAGCCACCTTTTGAGGGGTTGTGGCTGGGCTTTCCTTCTCTGGTGCTGGTTTTGGACCTTGTAAAGCACGTTTGAACTTTTTGGAGAAAGGACGCCCTTGAATGTAATTTAGATAGGCACCAGCCTTCTGGGGTCTCTGCTTCATCCATTCTCGTAGGGTTTCAATTGGGGAACCGTTGACACACCATTCAGTTACACCAAATTGTCGAAGGTGAGCTCTGGCATGGCTGGCTAAAGCCTTCCGATTTTCAAAGATCAACCCACAAAGCTCACAGGCGGCCTCCACTGGTGGAATTAGGAAAGAATAGAATACAGAGAAGAAAAATGGTGGCAAAGAAAAAGAAGGACGTTATAAACAATGTATTATGCACATGGCAAAGCCATACATCAAAAATGTTACTTACTGTTAGTGGCTCCCTTCTCTGGAGATGCCTTCACCTTGACCTTAAATGGAAGCTCCGTCTGGATGTAAGCCTTGGTCTTGCCATCTGGAGAAAAAGACTTAAGCTTGGATACACCTTGCAAGAAGGGTTTAGGTTTATGTTCCCCAAGCATAAAAGACTTGGGCTTTCCATCACCTTGCAAATAGGTTTTAGGCTTGCCTTCGCCGTGCACAAATGTCTTGGGTCTGTTTTCACCTGGCAAATAGCCCTTTGGTCTCCCTTCTTGCATTAAAATCTTTGGCCTCCCATCTCCACTTTGAAAGAACTGTTTTGGCTTCCCATCAACATGAATAAAGGTCTTGAGCCGGCCCTCCTCTGTAACATAGGTTTTTGGTCTACTCTGACCCTGTAGGTAAGACTTAGACTGGCTGCAAGTCTTACGCTCTGCATTCATATAGCCCTTTGGCTCAGACTGTGTAAGTCGAGGTTCATGAGAAGCTGGCCTCTTAGTTGGTACTGGGGACAGAAAACTATTGAAAGGGCGCCCAGACGGTGAAATTGGAAGATCTCGAGCCATCATTGATGCTCCAGCACCAAGAGGTGAGAGTCTGTGTGACGGACTGGGTGGCTCTTCCTCCCCGTGAGGTTCCTTTTTGATGTTGGAAACCTGCTGCTGTGGTGTCGCCGGACGTCTCTTGCGTATGATTTCTCGCAGAGTATCAATAGGTGAGCCATTCACATGCCACTCTGTCACACCCATCTGGCGGAGATGTGAACGTGCATGACTAGACAGCCCCTTACGATTCTCAAAGAACTCATTGCAGAACTCGCAGCGGATATCACGGGTGGGGTCTGACTGCGAAGCTAAAAAGAACAGAATGTGCATATTAAAAAATACAAGAAAGTGGGGGCCCAAAAATTGTGAAAAAAAACAGACGAAAGGCAGGAAAGGGGAGAAAAACATAAAATGTTAGTAAACTAAACTTTCCAGAAATCACACACAAAAATGCAAGATGAATCAATGTCCAACAAACCACATCAGGCATGCCCACAAAAAAAGTCTCAAGACAAGGACAAGGAGATATTACAAAGCTGCTGGCTAATGTTACCCAAGATGAACTGAAAGCACTGATGGTAAGGAACACAACATTACTACAAATCTACCTGCCACAAAAAACAGGAGAAGAAACCTTTAAAACTAATTTGTACATCACAGAGAACATGGAAAGCAATGCACGAGAACCCAAAAAGGTTAATCTATAAAAGGTGTTCTTGCTGCTATCCAATTTAACATAATACACTGCGCTCTTCTGGAATCCAAACTGTACTAAACATTTGCCTAACTTTGATCACAAGCTGCAGCCAAATGATAGCAGGAAAACTTTTGCATAAACAAATCTCACCAACAGAGATGCCAAGGGACTGAAGCTTCCGATAGAAGAAAACAGTCTTGTTGTCAAGTACCTATATTGTACAGCTGTATATGTGGAAGGCTTAAAAAGGGACGCCCTGTACATGTTTAATAACATGCTAAGGCAACCAGTAACATAGTACAACCACTAGCATGTAAAATGTTTGGGACACACAACCTATTTCCAAAACAGTAAGTTCCTTAAAGGATCAGTTCACCTTTTGCAAATATTAATGAAATGCATTATTAATAATATATATTTTGAAAATATGCAATTGTTCAATATTTGCATTCAAGCCTGGAAAGCATTACAATTGTGATCACTCGATCACAGCTGCAAAGCTCAAACTTCAGCACATTCTCTCCCAGGCAGAGCTCGTACTGAGGTACTGAGTTTCAGTTAGGAGCATATGGAGGGAATGACGGCTGGACTTCAAACTCCATTCAATCACCTCATCCAGCCGTCCTCGCTCTAGGTAGATGCGGGAATATGGGCAACTCTACCTAGAGCGAGGAAGGCTGGATGACTTAATGCAGTTTGAAGTCCAGCCGTCCTTCCCCCCATATGCTCCTAACTGAAACTCTGTACGAGCTCTGCCTGGGAGAGAATGTGCAGAAGCCTGAGCTTTGCGGCTGTGATCGAGTGATCACAATGCTTTCCAGGCTTGAATGCAAATATTAAAGAAATGCATATTTTTTATATATTAATTATGCATTTCTTACATTTTTGCAAAAGGTGAACTTATCCTTGAATGAAAACCTGTAAGTAGGGAAACACTTGTGAAATTGACCAATTTCTGGGTGTCTCTGGCTACAATTGTCTTAGTCACTGACCTGGAACAAGCATGCAGCCAGTCACTCCCAAGGTTCTCCAAGCAAAGTTATTTTTATTCCATGTGTAAAGTTACATCAAGTGCAGCAACGTTTCCGAACGCATCCAGTTCCTTCATCAAAACTTTGTTTTTCCTGATGAAGGAACCGGATGCGTTCCGAAACGTTGCTACACGTGATGATGATGCCGGTGACTTGCGGTTTTGTTTATCTGACCCAGCTGCGCCATCCGCTGTCGTTTCAGAACCCCCCCCCCCCTTTGGAAGTTGGGACATTTTCGGTCAGGAGTGCGGTGGGATCCTCTACATCAGGGGTAGCCAAACTGCTGCCCTCCAGCTGTGGGGAAACTACAAATACTATCATGTATTTGCCTCAGTAGGCCATGCCTGTCAGAGACTTGCAATGCCTATGTGACTTGTAGTTTCATCACAGCTGGAGGGCTGCAGTTTGGCTACCACCGCTCTACATAATTCACATAGTTATCTCAGGTCAGCATGACAACCAAGCAACTAGACTTATTGGCTCCCAATAGTTCTCATGACAGGTTTGCCAGTCATGCACAAAACCTGGCGGGTGTCGTTGCAGCTTCCAGACACTGCATTTGTCTGTATCTGGCTGTTCTAGGAGTTACTCAACCGAAACAAATCTGGAGATACGCATTTCAGAAGCAACAGACTTATATGTTCCAGGTCAGTGACTGGAAGTGTTGTAGCCAGCGTGTCACCATTACAGACAGGGAGCAAGCGTTTTCAGAAAGAGGGTAACAACGGCACCCTTCATACCTCACTAAACAGATATATTAGGAGGTTTAAAGCCAGTCCTGCGAGGCACAGGCAGCCATCTTGTAGACTCGGGAAACCACTCCTGCATACAACACCATGGCCTCAGTTTAATAAACAGCAATTTAGGTGCAACTATTCTTTTTGATGCAATTGAAGCCATTTCCTGTAATCAAATAAAAACTATCGGAAGAGATTTACAGCTGTTCTTGAATACTTGTCACTAACAAAAACTTGAGTCTGCCATTGCCGATTAGGCAAAATCGGAATCCTTATATGCAGCGTGGTCCTAGGTCAATGACTAAATTCGTAGAGAAATAGCATTTTCAGGTGGTCAACAATGGCAGCTTTCACATTGTGCCTAGGAGAGATTTATTTTAAACGCAATCTTATGATATAACCCAAATGTGATCCGATAGGCTGCTGTGAATTATGCATGCGAGGCAATTACACATTTAATTCCAACAGCTTGTCAAGACACCTCTGTTGCTGAACATGTGATGCCGATTTCTCACCAAACAAGTTCAACGAAGGCTAACTAAACATGAAATAGGCCAACAAAAATACTTTTCAGAACAAGCATTTCTGCTCAAAGGTCATACAACAGATCGTTTCCAAACTTCGCTACACAGCACGAAATCCTCAAAGACACAAGCGCACACAATTTCAGCAACTCAGTGCTTAGGCCAAGTCATGCCTTGCATTTTTAATGGCAAAGAGGTTATCTGGGAAAGTCAGGAGTGGTCTGAATTAAATATATGAATGAAACAGACAAGATGGGAAGCAATGAAGTGGATGAGCAAGCATATGAAGAGATGCGGGTCGATGGCCAACTTACACAAGTTTAAAGGTGAGAGATCGGAGGGCCACTCGCTGCCCGGGTAGGCAGGGAGCCGAGGAGGCTTGCGTTGCATCGTCGGAGCCAACCCTCTGTACGGGTGGGATCCGGATGGGGAAGCACGAGGATGATGTGGGAGGAGCTTCTCCGAGCCGGGGCCTCCGACTCTGGTGCCCATTCTGGGAAGGGTCCCACTGGCCAAGATCTCCCGCAGGGTGTCGATGGGTGACCCGTTGACATGCCACTCTGTGACGCCCATCTGGCGCAGGTGGGAGCGTGCGTGGCTCGACAGGCCCTTTCTGTTTTCAAAGAACTCGCCGCAGAACTCGCAGCGGACTACTTCCGAACTCGGGGCTGGAGGAGTGGATGACAAACAAAATTGCCGCCTTTAGATTTCTAACTTCTCTGCTCTAGTTTTATTAAAACGAGACCCAGTATGAGGTTGAGGGTAGATGGTGTGTAATTAAAACATGGCACTGACTGCATGGTGAACTTCATTCAATTTCTACAATGACTGCATGTTTCTACACACGGTGTCTGAGATTGTAAATAAACACAAATTGCTATGCTTTGTAGATATTCAGGTGTAGCCATTAAAAGGTGTCATTTTAATTGACCCTAAAAACTTGCCTAAACTACCTTGAAAGCATAACAGCAGCTGTACGCCGTTCTAGAGCAAATGGCCCCAAGTTTCACTATCCTGTATAATGACGTAAGGGGGAAAGCTCAGAGCAGTGACCCTGTATATATCTCTCAGTTTGCAGTCTGTTTGGCTGCAAACCTGCAATAAAACCTTATACACTTTTCGGGGGCAACAGAGCCCCAAATCTGTGTTCACTAGCCAATCTAAATGCTATAATAGGTCTTCAGCATGATGCCTTGTACACAATGCAGGATTCAAAATGCATGCTAGGTATCATCCTTGACTCGGACCTCACCTTTCTTCCCCACATCCAATCACTATCCAAATCCTGTCGCCTTCCCCTTCGTAACATCTCCAAAATACGCCCCTTCCTCACCAAAGAAACCTCAAAACTACTCATTCACTCACTTATTATATCTCGTCTTCACTATTGCAACTCCCTCCTCATTGGCTTACCTCTACACAGGCTCCTCCCTCCTTCAGTCAATCATGAATGCTGCTGCTAGACTCATTCACCTAACCAACCGCTCAGTTTCTGCAACCCCCCTCTGCCAATCCCTCCACTGGCTTCCATCCCCTACCTCTCTGCCAATCCCTGCACTGGCTTCCATCCCCTACCTCTCTGCCAATCCCTGCACTGGCTTCCATCCCCTACCTCTCTGCCAATCCCTGCACTGGCTTCCATCCCCTACCTCTCTGCCAATCCCTGCACTGGCTTCCATCCCCTACCTCTCTGCCAATCCCTGCACTGGCTTCCATCCCCTACCTCTCTGCCAATCCCTGCACTGGCTTCCATCCCCTACCTCTCTGCCAATCCCTGCACTGGCTTCCATCCCCCGCACCCCCTCTCCCAATCCCTCCACTGGCTTCCACTCACTCAAAGGATAAAATTCAAAATATTAACAATCACTTACAAAACCATCCACAACTCTGCACCCGGCTACATCTCCAACCTTGTTTCAAAGTATCACCCTAACCGTCCCCTCCGCTCTTCAAAAGACCTTCTGCGTTCCAGCTCCCTCGTCAACTACTCCCATGCTCGCCTCCAGGACTTCACTAGAGTCTCTCCCATCCTCTGGAACTCTTTACCCCAACCTGTCCGTCTGTCTCCAACTCTGACTGCCTTTAGGCAATCACTTAAGACTCATCTCTTCAGGGAAGCCTATCCCACCTCAACCTAACCACTGAACCATCACGTTCTTAAACGAATAATTCCCACACAGCTACCTCCTCATGTATCACTTCTCCCTCCCTTTTAGATTGTAAGCCCTCATGGGCAGGGCCCTCCTTACCATCTTATCTTGTCTTGTGATTGTAATGTCTTCCTTATATTGTAAAGCGCTGCGTACACTATTGCCGCTATATAAATCCTGTGTAATAATCATGATAATAATGTATAGCCAGTGTGACTTAGGAGCCACATTCCTACCAGCCATCCATCACTCTCCATCGCTGGTGGAGCAGTGCTGGGCTGTTGGGCTTGCCTGCTGCATACCGTGTTCCTCTAATGTAGAAAAAATGCAAAAGCAAACATTCTGCTTGTGTATTTAATCTTCAGTTCTGCACTATATCTGAAATGATGCGTGGAAGACACTGTGTACGATCCCCTAAAGAGAATCAATTATCCATTCTGAGTAAACCAAAAATCTATAAAGTACTTGGAGTAGTCATCATAAGGTGCTTGCAATCTACCACCTGGACTAGAAGCCTCGACTACCCCTCTAAGATTGCTTTTCATTTGCCGCTGCAATAGTTCCAGTCTAAGCATCGTTCATCCCTATGAAAAAGTAGGAACGCCCTCTTTAGCCAGTAATGTATTGTTACTAGACAGCGGCTGGACGCTGTATGTGGTGATTTAATGCAGTTTAAAGTCCAGCCGTCCCCCCCTTATCTCTCCTAACTGAAACTCCATACCTCAGTACGAGCTCTGCCTGGGAGAGAATGTGCAGAAGCCTGAGCTTTGCAGCTGTGATCGAGTGATCACAATTGCAATGCTTTCCAGTAGGGATGCACCGATACCGGTATTTTGGTATCGATATTTTTTTTCCGGTACTCGCCGATACAGAAATTCCCATTCAGGAAGCCAGGCGGCGTGTAATAACTCGCAACCTGGCTTCCTGATTAGCCGGGAGGCGTGTAAAGACTCGCCACCAGGCTTCCCGATTGGCAGGGTAGCCGTCCCCATGCTTCTCATCACTATGTGACAAGAAAGCATGGAGGCGGCTTTCTGGCCATTCAGGAGCTGGGCGCCATGTAATGACGCGACGCCCAGTTTCCTGATTGGTCGGGAAGCCGGCTCCATGCTCCGTCGTCATGAGATGACGAGGGGGCATGAAGCCGGCTTCTTGGCCAATCAGGAAGCCGGGTGTCGCGTCATTACACGGCGCCCCGATATCTTGATTGGCCAGTTTCCTAACCAACAGGAAGCCGGACAGCGAGTCATTACACGCTGCCCGGCTTCCTGATACAGGAAGTATCGGGCTAGGCATCGGAGCATTTGGGCCAGTATGAGAACTCGCCCAAATATTCGGCACCGATACTAGTATCGGTGCATCCCTACTTTCCAGGCTTGAATGCAAATATTAAAGAAATGCATATTGATATATATTTATATATATATA